CGATTTTACATATATAATATATCAAATTAATCATCTTTTGATGATCTTCGATTTGACATCCATATTGTATATATAAAATAAATAAATTATATTTATCTTTATAATAATAAGAAAATAATAATATTTTTAAAATTTATTAGAAAAATAAAATTATTTCTCAATTGATATATTTATATTTAATGTAGTTATATAGTGTAAGTTAAAAAATTAGTATAATATAACACAAGTAAGTCGCACAAATAAAAAGTATCATAATAAATATATAATAATATATATATATATATTCTTATAAAAAGTATTTAAATTTTCAAACTACTTTTTCTCATTAATTTTAAATTTAAAGAAAAAAATTAGCAAGCACCCGTGTAATACACGGGTGTTACTAGTATACACAAAAGTAACAAAAATAAATATTTTGTATACAAAATTTGTACATTTAAGTGTTAGTAATACTGAATCTCACAATAAATATTTACTATGTCAATATATAAACATAGTATTTATTTTAGTATATAAAAAAATATAAAAATAAAAAATTTATAAAGACCGGGTCAACCGGGTTGACCTGACCGGGTCAATGCCGGGTTGGCCGGGTTTTGGCCGGGTCCATTATTACCCGGTCCAAATAGCCCATATGGACCGATTTTGGCTCCGGGTCGACCGGGTCCCAGGTCTACCCACCAGGCCGAGTCACAAAACAATGATGCCAACCCATTAGGAAAATAAAAATTGAATAAATTATCGATAAAAAATAGAATCTAAAAATACTTATCCAATCATTATAGATTGAAGGGACCTAAATCTTGAAACAAAAAATAAAATAAAATAAACAATTGCATGTGGGATATGAATCATCACTGCTACATCATACAAACGACCCAAAAAATGTGTGCTTTTCACATAATTAAAAAAATGAATTTATTTGCAAAAAAAAAAAAATGAATTTAAAATCCACTGAACCTATACGCTGCTCCAAGCAACGTATCCAAAAGGGCAATGCTATATGTACACCCCTTTTTAATAAATTACACAAAGGGCAATGCTATATGTACACCCTTTTTTTACACACAAGGGGGTGTACATATAGACACCCCCATCCAAAATTGGCTTTTCAGACAAAACCACCATTACACCAGCTTTTTTACCAAACAATATTTTTTAGTTGGTCAATCTTTCAAAACAGCTAAAAGGCCCAAAAAAGCTAAAAGCTAACCGAGACGTCAACAACCAAACGTAGCCATTGTGTTTCGGTAAATTATCTATTTCGATCTTGTGTTATATATTGTGTTAACTGGTTAATCGTGAATTGTAGTGACTAAGAACATGTCAAGCCGCACCCAGTCTGGGCAGACGCTGCCTCACAAATACGAAGGGCATGATTTATTTTTTTTACTCAAATAAATAATAATGAGTTTTTATCTTTTCATTTAGTTTCTCTTTTAAGAATGAGATACAAAGTGGAGTTACGAAAACTTTAAATAATTCAGGATTGGTCTTATATTAGACACTATATTATGTCGATATATTTTTTAACAAACATACAATTTTTATTATAAAATGGCATAAGTATGCATTTTTGTTTGAAAAGTATGGTAAATCAATCTACATGACGGTTAGACTGCCTCTCATAAGAATTTGTGTTAAATATATAAACATATTAACATATTTAGTTGGAATGATTGATCTTCAACTTCAACCATCATATATTTAAAATTGTGAAACTTAACTTTTAAATTATATTCTTATTATAATAAAATTATGGTATATAAAATAAATCCAAAAGTGTAATAATGTGTATATATGAATAAATATATATATATATATATATATATATATAATATTTATAAAAATTGCACAGGGGCCTGTACCGCTACAGGCCCCTATTTAAATGCGCCCTAGCCGCACCTTTGCTCTTGGCACCATGTACCTTGGGTATCTCCTTGGCTTAAGGTCTCCGTTTGGTATCCTTTCCCTCTATTTTTTGTCTTTGATTTCACTTCGTTTCGCTTTGTTCGTACCTTTTGGTAAAGTTATTTATTTATAATTAGTTGTTACATTAAAATTACTTATAAAAACCTTAACATATTTTAATATTTATATTTATGTTGGACTTATAACTATTTATAATATAAAAGTATCTTATATTTAAATATTTACTAAAGTGATTTAACATAATATAAACACAAATAATAAATAAAATGAAAATCTATATATAGTGAAAGTGGTTGATGGAATCTACATATATATTGATATTTTTAATAGTAACTATTTTCCGCCAAAAAATCATATTTACTATATCTGAAACTAAATTAATCAATTTATGGTATAAAGTGGACGAATGTACTTTTGGTATTTGATGAGTGTTTCTATGCGAAATAAATTAATCAATATATGGTATAAAGTAGATGAATTTATGTTTGTTATTGATGGTTGTTCCTATGGGAAATAAATTAATCACATATGATATAAAGTGGGCAAATTTATTTGATGACAGTTTTTTGGTAGGAAATTTATTGGAAATCTATCATCATTATATAAAAAGAGTTCAGTTGAAGGAGGACATGAAGGAGGAAGACTGGAGTCTACTTGACAGACAAGCTCTTGGATTCATTCGGCTGATGTTATCCCGTAATGTCTTTTAATATTGTAAAAGAAAAGACGACAACAGGCCTCATGAAGGCTCTTTCCAGCTTGAACGAGAAACCATCAGCCTCAAACAAACTTCATTTGATGAGGCGATTGTTCAACCTGCGAATGACCGAAGGTGCTCCGGTGGCACATCATCTCAATGAGCTCAACACTGTTACAACCCAACTGAGTTCAGTTGGGATCGAGTTCGATGACGAAGTATGGGCTTTAATACTTTTGTCTTCCCTATCAGAAAGTTGGAATGCTACGGTCACGGTTGTGAGTAGCTCATCAGGAAGCAATAAGTTGAGATTTGATGATGTTCAAAATTTGGTTCTTAGTGAAGAGATCTGACGGAGAGAGTTGGGTGAACCGTCGACCTCTTTTGTATTGCATACAGAGTCAAGAGGAAGAAGTTCAACCAAAGAAAACAGACGCAACAAATCAAAAGGAAAAGATCAAAGTCCAGAAATCATCGCAGTTCCCAGATCTCAAAGTCGATCGAGTGATGGAATTGTGGGAAAACCGGGCACTACAGAAA